GTTCTGTGGTCATAATGCGGCTCTTCCGGTATACAGGGGAGAAATTCAATGTAGAATGTTGGGTATGAAAGTCGAAGCTTGGGACGGCACGGGTAAACAAAATTATTTATTTATGTGATATTCAACATTTTCACTACGTACTAATATAAATAATTTCATACTTTTTTAATCCAAGATAAACCAGTTTTTGCCCAATCCGCTGACCTGGTATGCACAAAACCGTTTCCGTGCATGCCAATATATTTTTATAATGATCCAGATAATTCAAAATATTTGGGTGCTTATTTTTCGAATTATCCGTCAATTTGGTATCATGGAGATTATGTATGGATAAATCCAATAACAGGCGGTGTTGTAATGTTGGGAAGATCAGACGCGACACTAAATCCATCGGGTATTAGATTTGGCAGTTCGGAAATTTATAACACTGTAGATAACTTTGAGGAAGTGCAAGATAGTTTGGTAGTTGGACAGAAAATTGGTGATGATGAAAGGGTAGTATTATTCTTAAAGATGGCTAATGGATACGAATGTGATGATGAATTGATTTCAAGAGTAAAGAAGAGGATAAGAGAACAATTAAGTCCAAGACATGTCCCTTCTTTTGTTTTACCCATTGGGGATATTCCAGTACGTATTTATTATGATGATTATTAATTAATTCTTAATCCGTAATTTACCTTTTATTTGTTTTTTTTTTTGTAGTATACTATAAATGGTAAAAAGGTTGAAGTTGCTGTAAAACGCATAATTTCTGGAGAAACAATCGCAACATCTGAAACAATCGCAAACCCAGAAAGTCTTAATTTATATTACAATATTTCTCAATTGCAAATAAATTGATGTTTATTTAGTTCGTCAATATCTTTGATTGGTATAAGATTTATATTATAGATTACAAAATAATGTTACTTTTTTTCTTCGACTGTTTTCTATTTATTGCGTCCTACGTAAATTTGTTATAAATGAGATTGCTTAAATTTTTATAATTTAATTTATTAAAGTATCAATCATAAGATCTTGTGTAATTCAATTAATAATAAAACCAGTTACTATATTTAATAATCTTTATACAAGATAAATTAATTACGATCTATTGTAATTATATTAGTAAAACATATACTGGTTATATTATTGTTTAAGATTAATATATTCAAAACTTAGTTTTTTATTATTAATATATGGGTAATAGAATTATTAAATTATAAATTTTTAGAGATGTTTGAAGTTTCAATTGATTGAAGATATTATTGTTATGTTGAATTTATTTTTTTTATATTTTGTAAAGAATCTTAAGACTTCTATTAAATATTTCAATAATATGGTTAAATTTTTTTAAATAATTAAATAAATTTATTCAATATACAATTGCTTTCAAAAATTTGAATTTACTTATGTTTTTATTACAAATTTCAATTTTATCAATTCTTATATTTTTATTCAAAAAAGCAGAGTCTTTTAACAACTCAGACAAGCTATAGATTCTTAGTGCAACCATAAAAAAACATAATAGAGCTCACAGTCCCAATTACTAGATTAAAAACTGTTGTATTCAATATAGTATCCCAAATATCTTATGAATACTATTGAAAAAGAATATACAAGATACAATAAAATATCTTAAATTTACTTGTCAGAATTTCAAAGCAAGAAAGGCTAGAAACATAATTAAAATAGTCTTAAAACAAAAATATAAGAACATGCGAAATAATCAAAGAAAAATAGTAAATCAATTAATAAAAAGAGAGCATATTAAAATAGTTTTGAATAAGATTAAAGTTAAAAAAGAAA